CATGTAATTAATAAACCAGCGGATTGTAATGCAATACTTTTAGAAATGCTATACAATTGTAAGAAGCAAACAAGTTGAAAATGGAATTTAGTGTGAAGTTGAAAAGGACAACTAAACACTGTAGTGCTTAAGTGACATTTAAATTAAAATAAAAACGATGTGCTCTGGCCTCTACATCTTTACCTTGTAAATAAAAAAATCTAAAAAATACACTATTAATTGCTGATGATTTTAACCAATTTTTTTTTAATGAGACATATCCAAGAGAAATAAAAATACAAATGACTTATATTTTATTGTCTGTATGCCCACTATGATATAACACGAAGCAATTCTAAATAGCATTCTCAAATGTACAATGTATTATGTTTGAAGTTTATTTGCCTGGATTTATTTTAGAAATATTTCGTTGATAGTTTTTTTCTATTTACATATCATTTCTTAGAATAAATCGATAAGGACACTGATTTACAAGTTTGACCAGAGTTTTTAGGCATAAATTTCATTCTGTATTTAAGTGCTTGAAAGTAGAAAATCTGAATTATATCAATTTGGGACACAAAATATATTGCTCTACAAATCTCGAACTTGTATGGAACAAATTTTTTGTCTGTTATATATTTTGTGTTTTGTTTTGTTTTGTTTTTCTAAAAGAAGCCTTGGTGTCTCTCCGGTTGCATGTCCGTCGCATTCAGTGCTGCAGCACTTTGATTATTACTTGTGACATATAAGTGATTTATCAATTTCAGCTTTGCTTTTCTTTAAACAGCCTGACATTGTCGGAATAGTCAGCAAAAATAAAATTGAGGTGCCACATGGGGAAAATCTTAAAAAAGTAGTTTCGTCATTGAAAAGTGTGAAATTATATTTTGATAATTTTCACTGTGAAATTATCAAATATAATTTTCACGGATAAATCAGTAATCCACTGAAAAGCATAAAATAAAATAAATAACTCAAGAAATCTCATAATCACTAACTTCATTATTTGGGTTAAATTGACATATGAGCCGCGTCATGACAAAACCAACATAATGGGTTTGCGACCAGCATGGATCCAGACCAGACTGCGCATCCGCGCAGTCTGATCAGGATCCATGCTGTTCGCTTACCAACTCTATTACAAGTAGAGAAACTGATAGCGAACGGCATGGATCCTGATCAGACTGTGCGGATGCGCAGGCTGGTCTGGATCCATGCTGGTCGCAAACCCATTATGTTGGTTTTGTCGTGACACGGCTCATATCATAATATTATTTCTTTTTCTACGTTTTTTCTCATTCTTTCTAATTCATTCTCTGGTAAGTTGTTTTCACCGCTAATTCAGAAATAATGTACAATTTAAGATTGGTTACTGCTAGTAATTCATACAAGAATGTAAGTTTGGTGGATCGACCAAAGAGATATGTCAAAAATCTTGTGTTATATTGGCGTAAAACCAGGAACCAAAACAATAACCTCACACATTCCCGCCAGTACTTACTGTGATATTTGAATGCATAGATTTGCAAACATGTCTTACTGCTTGCCAAACTTCCTGTCACCTGCCTGTTTGTCATTTGCAATTCATTATAGGGTCATTTAAACAATATATTTTTGAAAGAAAATAAGATTGTACGGTGTCTTAATTAATATCATTAAATTAATTATAATCAATAAATCTATTTTGCTATAGCCGGAAGTTGATTGGATCTGTCATACCCTGGCCCCAGACCTACGAAACTCTACCGTTGAGACAGTCCAGTGCCCTAGATTAAAAAGGGAATTCTGGCGCATCGGCGACATTGGTGCAAAATAAAGACCGTGATGGTATATGCTCCGAGTCCAATTTCACATTGTGTACACACTCTATACTCATTGGAAATTTGAGGACGTATTTCAATATAGTGGAGGAGAATGTCACGGTTCAGAACTGTTCACTAATTAGGGGAGAAAATGTGTAAGCGGCCGAATAGCTCAGTCGATAGGTCAGCCCGGTGAGATTTGAAACCCAACGGGGTCACGGGGTGCGAAATATGTGCATCCTGACCGGGACTCAAAACCGGGACCCTTTTACAAAAATACAAAGTTTCAGACATTAACTACGATTTTTAAACGTTTCAGCATTGTCTTCCTTACGTATGTCCGTCAATAACTGAGAAAGAATAAAACGGCCCGACCAAAGTCATGTTCTCCTCTAGAAGCGATGACATGTCACATGATTCTCAGTCTAGGAAAGAGGAAAGAGGAAAATATCACATGGTGCCATGAGGATACGCTGGATGTTCAAGGACAGTCACTCGTTTTTTCTAGTAAAAAATACAGACAGGCTTTTCATGTCAGTCGAAGGACGAACTCAATTGTAGTATTGATCAATTTTTCTTTTATGCTGTACATTAACTTCAGAATATTGATCTATCATAGCTACTTTGACGTGCGTATAAATATTTTATTACACTCTTACATTATTGAAAGGCACTGTACCAGCTTTAACTATAAAACTTCCTGTTTCATTATCATATACAGTTTAGCCCTATTTTAGATTTATATCTTAATATAAAAAGTGTCTCGTCTTTTAAAGATTCATGGTGTACATTGAATTTGAACTTAATACATAAGTTGATATCATTTTACATGTGTTTATTTGAGATCTCTTTTTATATAGTTTATGAAATTATGAGGTTTCAGTTTCATACTCATAATCTATACATAAGATACAGAATTATTTGATAATAGATCGAAAATTTTATTGTTTAAAATAAGCTTTATATAATTACATCGAAGAAAGAAGAAGCTTAGGATGTCTTTACATAGTTTTGATATTATGGAAAAAAATCTATATATCTTATGCCCTACATACGTTTAGGCAAACGGTTATGTGTAACAAAACCAAAATATATTTAATATGTACGCATTTCCACCCCTACTTAACGATGACATGGTTATCGCGCATCGTTTGAATGAGACAAGCACGTCATAAAATTTCATAATAAATACAAATATGATACTGTCTAAAAAAGGTTAATGTCACAAACGTACATCAAGAGATACTGTGAAATCTCATCAGGACGACTACTATTACATTGAATTTCATGATAAGTAATTGGTTAACCAGAAGTCCGTCCAGATCTGAATCCTATCAAAACACCTGTGGGATTGTCAGGACCAGTGTGTTAGACCTCGACCCCTTCAACCGTCGAATATCAATGAACCAACACAAGGTTAATGCAGGAAAGGGAATTTATTCCTCAGAGAGAAGTCAACACTCAGGTCTATTAGGGAACGAAACTAGGCAGTATTCCATGCTCTAGATGGCCATTTCTAGTTTAAACGTGTGTTTTGTGTCTACTTTCACAACCATACTTTACCATTTGTCAATATTTTCAATGAACATGGAGCTACGAAAATGTACATACACATTTACATTTAAATACATTCGAATACAAGTAAAAATAGTGAAACCCTTTCTTCATCATTGACGTATCTGTGTACTTAAACACAGCGGGCTTTTTTTCTTTTTTGAGCTGGCGGTTTATATCGCCAGACCATATCTATCACAGTTTGTACCCCCAAATCAATGAAGCATTCTCTGTTACTAAGGTAACCTACAGGACACCTTAGAGACTTGAAACATTCAATTGCTTATCCACAACCAATGTGAAGAATATTCTGCATAGGATCAGATTTCACAGATCATAACCGCATTATGGGTTTGTGTTTTGATTTCGAAATGAAACACAGCTTATGGTATGTTTCTGAATGATATTTTAAAGAATAAAAGAACTATTGATACAAGTATTTACGTAAGGAAAGTTGAATTGTTGTTACTCCTGCTTCAATTTTGTTACAAAGTTTTCAGATTTTTACAGTTATCGTAATACGATGAATAACACATAGGTTTGTTAGTATCAGTAAAAATACCATCCCTCGTAAAAATACTGTTATCGGAGGCGTTGGCCGCGGAAAACAGTGTTATCATCGGGATGATATGTTACTGTTACCCATGAAGGAATGTGTTATTTTATAACTACTGGTTTAATCAAAATATCAAATGAAGACATTATTCAAAGTAAATGCGTTAAAAATGGTACTAAATGAACCAGTTACTTTCAATAAACGATAAAGATTCCTACATGCACGTAGTCAAGTGCAAAAATAAATCACCATCCCCTCCTTAAGATCGGAAAAGCGGCCCCTGATTTATTTTAGAGGGCGTAACAATCAGGGATTTTAGCTTTGAAAAAAAGAGAAAAAAAGGGAGAAAATACACATTTCAGAAAATAGACTAGTAATTGAAATTCAAAAAAGAGCACTCTCTCATCTGCTCATTTATCTGATAAAACATTAACATTCAAGGGGTCTAGTAAGATAACTCATTAATAATTGTATTACGATTAATTTTGTATAAAAAAATAATGCTCTTATCTTAAAATCAGTATTTTTGCATTTATATTATTAAACTTATTGAATTAATTTATAAAATACCATTCAAAGCCTTGTATTATATCACTTTCATTCTACCCGTTTGATAGATCTAATACCTAAAACAATAAAATTACTCACGGATTCCAATAATACAGAATTAAATCTGTATATCAACAGAAACAAAATAAAGCTGGTCAGGCTGCTTTAATGCATGACGTACTCGTGCTACACTTAATATATCTTTTACAATTACCTGGCAGAATAGTTGATAAAGTGTCACATAAATGCATATTCTACGATTTAACTGATTGATTAAAGAAGTAAAATATATTGATACAAACAGATATAGATTTAGTCTTGTCAAAGCATTTATACTGCAAACAAGTTTAAAATGATATTCCTCTGCAAAATACGCAGGTATTGATTCAATGTTAAACTTTACCAATGATTTGACACTACTTTTTGTATTTAAACAAAGATTATTTCATTTTGTGATCACCCTTACAAGGCCATTATGTTTACGAGACCTAACCTAATATTGAAGATATTGATTTTTATTTCAAATATCTAGATCGATACAGCACTCAAGTAACGCATGATAGTGTCAAGGACAAATAACATAAAGGTATAACGACATTGGCAAGTCAAGCCATTAGTTTGTAGGAGGTGATTATATAAACTCGATATTTTTAACTTTCAAAAGTGTTTTATCTTCAATTTTCATACCGCTACTGGATATATGAAATAAAGTTTACAATAAATAAGATTTAAGTGCTTAAAATGGCATCAAACAGTGCATCAGAGTTATCATCTGAAAAGGGAATTGATATAAAATGCTCAGCGTGTAAACAACAAAATAAAAGTACCGGCGCTGACAAATATTGTGTTGATTGCCAGGACTACTACTGTTCTGAATGTTTGAAACTACACGAAACACTTCCTGCTTTGAAGAAGCACAAATTACTGGATACAAATGATGACACTATTGGACAGCTTCTAATGATACCAACAGAAAAGTGTGAAAGACATCATTACACAACTACTGTTGACATGTTTTGCCAGAATCATGACGAGGTCGGGTGTACAAAATGTATGGTAACGGATCACAGGTAATTTATCTTTTTTCAAAGGTTTAACTATATTGAATTTTGTTAGCGATGAGTTATTAAGCATTTAAGGTGAAGCATATTTTTTCTAAATATTTGAATTGATATCCGTGTAATTGAAAGAGCATCGAAACATGAGACGGCTATCTGATTCGTTCAAGCTACGCCCCGAATATAAATCATTTTGCCGAGTGTTTCCTTCTTTATCATATACATAAATAAAAACACGCTCCTTGTCGTTTCAATAAAAAAAGAAACCAATGTACCAACATCTGATTATGACTTGTCCATCCTTATCTCTTTCCCTGTCGTAAAAGAGTTAACCCCAGGTAAAATAGCCAATCGACGAACATGCGCGATTTTATCCCCGAGAGACAGTGAGGTTACTAGAGTGCTACACTCCAGTTAACGCACTGTGCATGTACATGTATAATTATACTATTTAACTTTGACGCATTTTTCAATAGAAAGATATCTAAAATATGACACAAGTTAATATTGTTAAATGTATGATTTCACTTCAGTACATCCAAACTAAATTTTATGTGTATTGCATAGTATAAATAAACAACAGTTAAAGGGATATTCGGGCAAATTAATGACAAAAATATTGAAATGATCTTTAGTACTCAACTCGCGCTAAAATGACATTTCTAAAAGTTTCAGCATGAATTTCTGTTTAAATTCTATATATTTTGGATTTGAAGCATTAATATACCGGTATCTATATATTTGGAACAAAATTTAGACGCCAATAGAATCATCGAATAGTTTTAAAACAAGTCAAGTGACTTGAACAAACCCTTGAAGTTACATTAAGAGATACTGTGGATATTGTATGATTGAAACAAATCAAAATCATTCATTTGACATGTTCGTTAACGTTTCCAGAGTTCACTGTGACAACTATTTGAAATCCTAGCGCTCTAACCTGACCCACGCGGGTCAGGTCAGGAAAGCACCATTTTATTCTTTTATGGAGAAAGTTTCGTTCCTTTGACTGTCTAATATATTCATTTTGAGGGCATTCACAGAATAAGGAATGAATAATTCAAAAGTAAGAAATGAAAATTTTGCCTGTGTCGCCCTTTAATAATACATGTAGGTGTGCACCTTTAACATAATTCAACCCACATAAAACAGCATCAACAATCCTGACTTCATGACGTCGGCTGAAATGTTTGACCTTTGACGTATCCCGGCTTTGCTTCTACCAAAACGTACAAAAGCGATGCCACGACAAATAAGGTGTCGCATTTACACATATGCCATTTATCTGTCATGTTAACCAGGCCAGATGAATAATAAAGTAAATAATTGTGACAAATTTTGATTTTCGCATGCATTCAATTTCATTGATTCTAGCACTAAAATAATAGATTGGATGCAAGGGGACTTGAGAGATATATTGCAATTTTATACATCATTAGTCACGTTCTGATGTAACCAAAGGAAACTGTAACATTTTTATCCATCAGTCCGACCAAATATTAATCCAGTCTTACCCACCTTCTCTATTATTTGTTACAAAAGATCTGTAAATTTTGGGTATACCTATTTAAACAAAAGTAAATCCATTATGATGTTTATCTTGTGCACATGTGTTGGGTTGTTTGACAAATTCTATCTTATAAAAAATGTGAAAAATATACCTGACTTAGCGCAGACAACGAAAACATAAATAGTAAATCAGAAATCTAAAATGAAGAACAAATGTAAATGACTTTGATAATTTTCTTTACATTAAATACCGGGAGACTTTTTTAAAACAAGATAATGTTAAATAAATTAACTTTCTAATAATTCCAATATCTTAATTTACGTTTTTAAAATAATGGACAGCTTATTAAATAAAAGACACATTTAAAGATTTTTTAATTCCATCATTTTTTTTTTTCAAAATTAATCTAAGAGGTTCTTCGGGCATAGATTAAGTACAATATGACTAGTGTGGAGGCTTAAATCCCAAAGGATGTAACATCTTACACGCTCATGGAAGTTTACAATACATAAAAATTGTTCCAAAATTCATATCGAAAAAAGATATGTATGCCCCTTTGTGATTCAAATGACGTCATGCACCCATTACCAACAGTTAATAGCGAAGCCTCTTGGTAAAATTACCAATCGCAGGACGAATAAGATTTTCGAATCCCCGTATAAAACGGCGATTAAACATAGCTGATATTCCCCACAAACCTCCAAAACTAGGGTTAAGTTTCAAATAATGCTACATATCAATGTGTTTAAGTCATTGTGTATTGATACAATCCGAAACTCTCTTATAGTGACCACATATACAATTATTTAAAGGGGATTGGTCTTTAATGGACACATTTTCCAAAGTTACTTCAAAATTGATAGAAACAATAGAAATTTTTATAGTTCTTAAAAATATGTCTTAACAAAGAAATGTAAATAAAGTTTTAACCCTTTACCGCGTTGGCACTTTGAGAAAATGGCTAATTTCATTGAAAAGTCTCATATTACAAGTTCAAATTGCTATAAAACAATAAAAAATGCTTCAATACTGATTATACTTGGTTCAATTGATGATTGGATCATACCCTTTGTAACGGCATGTTCAATTTTGAATTTACAAAAGCAATGGGGGGACACCTTAAAATTGTCAAAAAACACTATTTTGCAATGATTTTGTCCATCAATTTGAAAAGTAATTTAGAAGTGCATGCTGCAAATTATCAATGTATTGACACAGAGTCAACAGCTTTCCAGCGTACGTTTCTCGAACTGAGGCCTTTCACAAGTCAAAATTGTTGAGGAGAGCTACTGCCCCCCCCCCCTTCAGATCTTCCCTCTGGCACCCCCTTGATGTATCTTTTTTATACGGGAAAATGATCACTTTTAAAACATTTTGCTAAAAATAACAAGTGTTTGGTGCCTAAATAGGACATATATTTTCGCCATTTGATGCCTTAAAGTTGGTAGGGGGTGAAAAGACGTCAAAACACGTCTATATGAAGTAAACGTTTAAGTGATTTAGTATACATGAAATATCGGATCATAAATCTCACACTTGCCAACAGCATGCTAGTATTTAGAGGTCTGATGTAATGTTCAAAATATCAACATAATATTAATTGTTTACATGTCTTCTATTGCATCCCAATTCTCTTTAATTTTGACAAATTGCACATTAACAATCATTTAAAAGGAAAAGCATACAATATTGTAAATGGATAGATAGAATATTTATAATAACTATGCGTAGCTCCTCCTATGATTCCAAGAAAGTTTCAAGGCAAGCAATAAATGTTAGTTACAGATAGTAACACGTGATTTTACAGTGATTTTTTTAATGAACCGTGTTAACCGTCTTCTTTCAATATTGTGTATATATATGCATGTGTACTGTTTATCTCGGATATTTGCATCTGTAGTATTTTCGCTTACCGTTCACGAAGCAACGGTAGTGTATTCAATTAACTGATAAGCGAACGTTGGGTATAAAATGTACCTTAAAATGTACCTTTAACAAACTTGGATATATGTGCATTTTAATTTAGAACAATATGCACTCATGCTTTCAAATAATGACCTGTCTATAATTACGAATCGAAATTGATGTTTTAACGCGCAAATCATAGGGCCCGATGCCGCTCAAGTGAAACTAATCATTATAAACGGCAACAATGATAACCGCTGTCGTACGAATGTAAAGCTCTTTTCCAGCTTCTCATAACGATAGCACAAACTTAATTATAAAGACGAAATAGTTTTAATAATGTTTGCTCTACATGGAAAATTTTGATTTCAGTGTCATTTTAAGGTGTTCTACATTTTGTACACTAAATATCTAATGATGTGAAGGTGTTTGTACTGTTTGTACTGTTAAGTACTATTTTAAAGATATAATTTATTTTCGCTTTAAAATTAATGAACACAAAATATGGCTATTCAATGCTTTCAAGGAATATCCCATTTTCCCATGTGTTTATTAGTCCCGGGAAAATAACACTTATAAATTACGACATAGCATAAGTCATTGCTAATTTGATTTATAAGTGTTCTCTTACAAATTAAGATTAGTGTACTGTTGTCTTTTCAGTGGTTGCAAAGATGTGTTCTACATTCCTGAAATGATGGAAACGAGAGAAATAAAAGGATGCCAGGAACGCATGGCTGCTATAGAGAAGAAATTTAACGGGCTTCTTGATAGATTCAACAATGAAGACTCGGATCTAGAAGCAAACAAGCAAATGGAAATTGACAAGATTAACTCATATGTAAAACAGATTGAAGATAAAATCAAACTAGCAGCTCAAGATGCTTTATCTCAGGTTGAAAAACGGTATCAGAAGCTAAAGTCTGTATTAAAAGGGAATACTGAAAAAGTGAGAGATCAATTTGAAAAGTTTTCATCGATTAAAGAATGCATTGAAACAAGAAAGGAAAACAAGTCACAAACATTTGTAGCCTTCAAACAGAACAAAGAAAAAATTGAAGCTAGCGAACAGGAGTGTGATAGTAATCTAAATATTGAACTCGGACATAGAGTACAATTTACTCTAGATCACGAACTCAAAGAAAAACTAATTGTGGAAAGATTCGTTTTAGGAAATGTAAACATACAGACATATAGCTTTGTACATAAAGGAAGCTTTAAAATACGCTTAACATCGGACCAGAATGCACCTATGGTAAACGGATCTTGTGTTATATCAGACGGTTCCATCGTTTTAGCAGACTCTGACAATAAAAACATTAAACTTGTTGATGTAAAAAAGCAGCAAGTTGTAGATGAGGTTAAATTCCAGACCAAACCTTTTGATGTTTGCTCCATAGACAGAAATGGTAAAAACGAGATTGCAGTGTGTCAAGAAGATGAAGTTTCAGTGATCTATATACAAAATGATAAATTGTGCTCGGCATTTGACATCAATTTGAATTTTTACTGCTTCGGGATATTCTGCTTAGATAATATTCTGTATATTTCTGACACAAAGAATATACACCTAGTTGATTTTACCGGAAGAGTGTTAAAAACAGTTGCAGTAGAGAAACCTTTAGGCGATTATGGTCAACTACATGATATATACGTGTGTAATAAAAACAAAAACATATTTGTTTCTTGCAGAACATCGCACGGGAAAAGTCTTTTCTGTCTTAATGATAATGGGGAGATTATAAATATAATATCAAAGGAGATAGCATGGTGTAATGGCCTAGCAGATGCTGGAAACGGGAAAGTGTTTGCTTGCGGAATTGATTCGAAAAATGTTACACTTTTGAATAATAGGTGTGAAATTGAAAAAGTTGTTATCAAGGATGGACTTAAAAATCCTATATCCATGTGTTTTGATTTCAAATCAGGACGTTTGTATGTTTTGCACTTTATGGACGATACTGTTGATATATTTGAATTTGACTAGATATTGTTTCATTATTTTAAATAAATGTGACCATATGTTTTTCAATCTTCATCTTGTTGTCTGACACGCCATTGTATTGTTAATTTGTGTATCATACACATTTTATTTGATCATTTTCAAAACAAAAAACATCCTGACTTTCAATCTTGGAAGACAATGCTATGTATTATACTAACCAAATGCTTTAGATATAAGGCTTCCTATGAAAATAAAGTTGTATTAAATGTAAAGTTGTTACATAATACTAATAATAACGCCACTATTTCAGGCCTAAAAAAGGGTCGAAAGTGCGGTGTTTCGCGTATATATGTGGTAAAGGGTTAAGCAGACAATATGTAGGCATGCTTCCCTTACCTAAGGGCTAAGTAATTTGTATCATTTTATACCACAAAAAAGTATATAACTAGGATAATTTCCACACCTATGTCTTAAAAAAGTACGATACATGATAAAAACTGCGGTTGGCTCTAACTACCGATCTCTCGAAAAAATTTGAACTTTCCCTCCAGGTTCCAGATTTTACCTAGAATGGGATTTCAGTTATTGTGCATTATGGAGGGCGATCGTTGCCAAAATTCCAGACATGTCATGCGTTCCTTTTGAAAAAC